GATATTTAGTATTCGGCTTTTCGATTGGTTGCAAATCCTATTCTAGTTAGCGGCTCTAGCTCTAGTGCGGCTAGTTCTTCGGTGTCGAGAAGACGGGCCTAATTTCTTTTGCAGGCCTATCGCGTTCGGATGTTGATGTTCGAAACGGCCAACGTTGCCTTAGCGGGTGGCGATGTTTGCGAGTCTCCGCTGAAACTTCAGTGTCGCCTCGCAACGCGAAAGTAACGAGAAGCTGCCAATTGACGTTAGTCCCCCTTCAGTGGTTTGTTAAGTGATACGACGACGGCGGCTCTCCGATTAGCCGTCTCCAGACGCGTAAACGATTCGACGTGAAGTTGGTCTCGTTCCAAATCAACTAGAGGACGAATCCGAGTATGTATAGTGCAGTGGAGGCTGAGAAGTAAAAGAAGTACTGATAACACCTTGAGCGCCAGCGTCCACATCACCGCAGTGATCGGTTCTGTGCTTAGCCTGCCGCTTGTTGGATGAGCCCATGATCAGATATGAATTTCGGCAGAAAGCTTTTCGGCGGTTTCGGCAATGGTGGCGACATCTTTAGCAACAACAATGTGGAAATCGGTCCCAACCGAAGCCGATATCAAGGCCGAGTTCAACAAACAATATGCACAGTATGTACACGAGTGGTTTATTTTATTCAATATTAGATGGAACCCAAGGTTTGAAGAAGACCGAGCTACTATTGCAGATGTGTTTAAGAATGTTGAAAGCTAAAGGAACTGTAAATTTCCGGTTTTGGTAGAAGATGAGTAACCCAAGTGGAGCTGATCGATTGACAGGATTACTATGCCAACAACACAAAAAAACATTTAATATCAGAGAACTGGATACCTTTTTTGTTTTTCCTTTTTTATATACGTAGCTCCAGAAACATATTTGGAGTCGAATCTCTGCTCTAACATAAAGCTTTGGTGTTGTATTTTTTAGGTTCTTGTCATGCATATAAACACTCTCGCAGAGCTCCGTTATCGCCTCCGTCTGGCTAGCAACTAAATTGCCTAGACTATTCTTTCAAAAACCGATCATAACGTCAGAACCAGGTCAGCTTTTCCACTTCGTACCATCGCTATAGCGAAGAGTTCGGCAGGTGGATCAGAAAAAATACCGTCTGTGCTGCCTGTCATACTAAATAAAGAAAGGGTCACCGTTAGTTCCATTAGAGTACTTAGTGTTTTTGTGTTTTGAGGCCTTGATCCTTTCGCTAGTGTTATTGGTTTAGATAGCGGCAGCTGTGATAGATTATGAAAAACACAGTTACAGGTACCAACAGTCTTGTGAACCGTACGCTGATGTCCCAAACTTTGTGATGCCACTAATGAATAAGTGATTCATAATTTATGTACCTTCGTCAGCAAGCTTGCACCAGACGAAAATTTTGATCGTGCCCAAAGCTAATGGCAGCTTTCAGCCCATTTGTGTAAGCTCATTCCTATCTAGATATCTGGGAACTTTCTGTCTAGGAATAGTCGAATTATTTGCTACCGGCACGGATCTCCTTAGAAGCTTTTCGGTAACTGCAGTGGAGCTGGCAATGACTGGATGTTTTTCTGAAGTGGCGATAAGTTTGCTGCTCCAAAGACAACTTGCAACTAAGCTAGCGGAAGACTCAGCTGCTTATCCCCTGTATCTCCAAAGACTCGAATAGGCGTTCTTATCCAATGGCAACCTGCGTTGCTTGGTAACCTTGTTTGATAAATTACGCTGCATTATGATTTCGTGAGAATCTTATAGGGGTTGGCATACATTGAGTAGGGTTCAGAAGGTACTACTGCTAACGAATGGATCGCAATCGAGGTAATGCCCGGAAATGTTGGAGAAACCATAGTATGATATACGAAAATAGTTCTTTTGCCGTGGCTTAATTTACCTTACAGTGTATATTACTTAGTGAGGTAAGAGTGTAAAAATGCGCTACAGCCAAAATATGTGTAAAACAAATCAGGATTTAGTTGGCTTGAATACATTATTTCTAAGCGTTTGCTTCAATAGGTCAAAAGCCCTCTGCTTAATCTCGGTCTTGTTTTCATGAGATATTCAGGTGCCGGGTGGACATGCTTTAAGCCAGCAGAATGTCATTTTTTGCCTGTGACGAGGACGCGGTACTAATGGTACTAACTAATGGTAAGTCCCGCACAAGGTCGCGAATGTTTCGCCAATCTGGTAGGTGGTGCCAAACGGTGGCGGCTGTTTTTTCAGCATTACCTAATCTTTGGTAAACGGCGTACCGTTGTCTTCTATAGCCCAGTTTCTAACTGAACCTTAGTCGGGTCTGTTGTCGTTAAGTGCTTATAGAGTGTATTGGTCGTTATCATTAAAAAACCTTGATCATATAAATTTCCTCCAAATAACGAGTTAAAAGTCTGTACTTGGCTAAACGAGCTTCCGGCGTTGAGAAAGCTTTTCTGAGCAACAAGCGACCACTTCGAAACGGACTGGATGTGGAAGCTAAATCACATTGTGATAGCGATAGATGACTCTTGCAAAGATACTAGCGTTGCCTGTGCGGCTGTTCTCCTAGGTGACTGGTACGACGCCCATCTCCTCAAAGACTTTAGGCTCAATTAGTTATGCTTAATGGTTGTTTGAACATGTGTTTACGATGCGACACATCGCAAGCCTACAAAATATATACCTGAAATTTTCAGCTTTCTTATAGTTAGAGAGAGAAATCGTCGGGCCGCTTGGCGGATACGCTGTTGAGGAAACGTGAGAAATATCATCAGCTCTGCTGATTGTAGCCGAACACTTGAACTCAAAAAGACTTCTTACGACTGGAATGGCTGACGCTCTGCCCTTAAGCTAACAGGTCTCTCCAGGAAATAAATAGATCGTACGACGACCACACCTCTTACAGGCACGTGTTATGCTTTAATACTTGATGGTCACCTCTCAAAACTTGCTAAAAAATTGCTCCTTTAGGGTCATTGAGACTAGGAGGCCGCCTTGTGTCTTAATTAAGCGAACACTCGGGAATGCTACAAGGAGTGCAGGAACTGGGAATTGGGTACATCATGGTAGTAATACGATTAAGGTTTTGTTTTGGCTAGGAATTATAGCTTCATAATTTGCGAAGGTTTTTAGGGTTCATTCTTGTATGGCAAAAATTAATACGTTTTATCTAAAGTTGAGTGCTAAAACTGAGTGTGGCTGAAACGTTGAAGGGCGCTTGAGTTTGCTGGGTGGGGACCTATGGGCGGAATATGTCTTACAGGCTATGTTTCGAAAGGCCAAATTTGTGTGTTTCCTGATAGGACAGAAGTGTGCGGCGGCCCTGCACTGGAAACTGCTCAAAACGCCGTGAGGATTTTCCAGAGACACTTCAGTCTTTCACGAACATTTCTTTGACGGAGCTTGGTTACTATGACAAAGACTAGAAAAATCGCGATGATCTGTAGGTTTATATTACCCAGTCTTAGTATACCATAGACTAAAGAAGCGGAATTCTAGCTTTTAATTATCATCGTATTGAATAAGTATTACTCTAAAGTATACGTTACAATATAATTCAAGCGGACCGCTGTTAGAAAAATACGAAATTTCTGTTTTTTCTTCCTCTGCTTTCACCGTAAACTTGCTCTTCCTCTCCTGCAAGTATCTTTTCGAATTCTTTTAACCCTTTATAATAAATCTTTACCTTTCTGAATCTTTAGATAACAATCGGTTTCCACATTTTCAAGAACAAACAGCCTCGAAGACAAGCAACCTTCCTACGTGTCTTTACGTGTCCTTGCACTTTTCTTGCATCCGGATTTCCGTAAAAATATTTCATGCGGCTGTCTAAATTAGAACAGTAAATTTTGTAAAACCGGCATTTGATACTATCCTCGCAGCAGTCTCATCCATCACCGCCGCAGGCCACAGCACCTATTACAAACGACAGATATGTAGACATATGAAAGAGCGTGCGATTTCCTGAATTTGAACAGCACACATCTTCTCCGCTAGCGGGTGTTTCCTCAAATTGGTCAGATAAATGTCGTTCTATAGCCTTGTCTCCCCCCGGTTCTGGCACTATTGCCACCTATAGAGAATTTATCCCTCGAATGGTACTGCCATTAGATTACAGTCAAAGCGACTGTACCCCAAAAGAGAACGGTCACTTAAGAAAGAGGTATAACGCTGAGTGGCGCAATATTATGCAACGCTATTTGCAACGCAGACGTTGCAAAAAAATTGATGTAGATGACACGGAAAGGATCGGCCCTCTTGGGTTCGATAGCGAAAGCTCCGTAAATACACAGATGGTCATGATGCTGGCCATCGTGTGGTGCGGCTGATCCGTTGAACTGCTCGCAAAGACAGGTCAGCTAGCGCAATTCGTTGCTCAATGTCGTCACTTCGAAGAAAATGCAACGAAGTAGTTAGAGAGAAAAGCAATCCGTAGAGAGCTATAACTGTGCCCGGAAGCGCCTAGTGAAAAGAAGGAACGAAAAACCTCCTCTTACATCCATATTACTTCTTCGCTACATATATCGTATACTGCGATAACAGGAAAAAAGAGGGGGCTGGAAAGGGTTACGAATCATCCCGTTGTGTGTTAAGCGTGCTGAAGACCGTTACTAAACGACGCACGAAAACAATGCAACGGTCCCCTGCTATTTACGCTGCTTTAGTACACTTCGGCATTCTATAATGATCCTTTAATGATGCTTAATCAACGAGCAATGTATTATAGAGTAATGTAGAGGACGTCATTCAATGGTTCATTTCAATGTGTTTGTTATAAGAATTCCCTTGGGTTTAAAGGCAGCACCTAGGCTCTGCAATAGTATCTAGCCTCCTCATTATATCTAGAGCGTTATCCTGGATGCGAGCAGCAAGTTTAATCCAAAAAAACAATATTTCTCGGGCATAGATGGTAACCAAAGAGGATAAAACTGAGAAGGCAAGCACACAACTGACACACGGTAACGTCGTATTATGGCATACTGATACAAATATCTTACTTTTTTGACTAGTTATACAGGTACCTTTTTATTTTTTTCTAAGTCTTCCTTGCCATAATGCTGTGCCAGCACTGAAGACAGATAACAAAAATCGATCCATAACAATGTTAGTCACGTCTAGTCCGACGCCGAAAAAGAAGCTCAGAGCCTCTGACACCGAACTGCGACTCCAGTGGTTGATAGTGCGGTATTCGGGAGCCGCTGGTGGTGACCGCATAAGAGAATTTGCTGGCTTTTGGCTTCTAGGTAAGTTCGTTTTAGGGAAACTCAGGGACGTGGGAAGAGGTGGAAGAAGCACACAGTAGGAGTGCCGCCATCAACAGGATCTCCGAGAGCTTTTTGGTTTTCTTCGTACAGTTTCTGGCGGTCATCTTTGGTCATAAGACAGTGGACCCCACGTCCAGCTTCAGTCGCTACCTTTCGCAAAATCGGACACATCGAAAACGGTGCGCCCATTATAGACACTGATACAAGCTGGCTATAAAATGCCTCTTTAAAATATCGTACGTGAAGGAAACAGAAAGAGAAACATCGTAGTTTAAAGGTGCTTTCATGTAAATCAATAGAATAATAGAATAGAATCGAAATGGTAATAAAAATTGTCAATTTTTAATATTGTGTATTTATATTAATCTACTAGCTTCTTTCTCATAGGTTGTGGTGCAAAATTTTGCTAATCTATTTAGTGTCTCTATGCCTCCTATATTCTCACAGTAGTAATATAGTTCCTATAATTAAAATGGCATGTAATCCAGTGTAGATTCCATAGTTAAGGCAGACGCGAATCACTCAAAAAGTATAGAGAATTATACCAATGGTAAAGATCACATGAGCATAACTTCTATCGACAGTCCAATGATTTTTTAACAACTCAACTTACATGCGCTGGTTAGCCGAAGAAACGTTTTATCAAAATAAGCAGCGCGCATTGTATATCAATCATAACTTGAAAGGTATACTTGACGTAGAGGAATACTTGACGTATTAGCAAAAATTCGAGAATGAAGGTAGCAGTATTCGAGAAAGCTCAGAATTTACGCTGTAGCTTCATATGGTCGCCTCACATAGATTACGTTCAATACTAACTGACAGCTGTTACCTTCAGCATTGGGAAGAGACGATGACATGCTGTGCAGTCTCCGTGAGTCTATAACATGAGCAGTCCAGTTTTGTGGGCGAGAACAGCCCGCGCATGCAAAATAAGTATTCGAATGAGTCTCGAAGTTTACCTGTAACAGTAATTGCCGGAGATTCTCAAAGGGAAGGCGTAGCAGGACTCGTCTCGGTCTAGCCAATGCTGTTTAGTTCCGGTAACTACTATTACCACTCCCAATATTAAGAACTGATCGTAGTTGCATCATTTCATCATAGAAATCGGTTCTACATATTCATACTGTACGAATGGTTGACCGAATGCCTAAACTGCAATATAGATAGTATCTCGTTTTGCCGAGATATTCACTGAGTTGAGGATTTTTCGTAACTTAACTATGCATCGTTAGGGGAAAAGATTCTTTACGCATTAAACATTTACACCTAGTCGTTGTCTATCTACGACGATAAGCCAACGGGCTTCGTTTCGTTGGGAGCGGGCCGTCTAAAGAAACGCTTTACTTAATATCGGAACAATTTTTGTAAGTTTATGAAGTGTCAACAAAAATTAATAAGTAAGCAGGTGTCAAGGTAGCCTTCAGCGCTGGAACTTAACTCGTAGAAATTCAATTTTCGTTCCTAAATGCTTGGGTTAACAACGAAATGTCGCATAGCACAGTTAAAATGCCAGCTTTTGAGCCGTCGGTATATATACAACTGGCTTTGGTCCACGCAGTCCAATTCAATGTACCGTTCGTAAGGTCGTCGGGGAGTCGGTGTTTATCTCGCTAGTTCACATTCAGCTAACATCGCTGTTCAATATTCACGTCCGCCAGCCATCTGAAAATACAATGGACTCAAACAAATAACGGGCAAATATCTGCAACCTCGGCTCGCCATCTACCACGGTCCCAATGCGAGCCTGTAATAAGTTCCATCACATTTTTACAAGATGGCGGCATAGGCGTTGACTGACGACGTATTTATTATACATATGAATTTACAGAGAGGGGTGATTACTAGTATTGCTTATATAGAAGCTACAGTTGGCAGTAGGTAGTCAAAAGGATTATAATCGATTGGGTCGGATCTTCTTGCCGACTTATAGTAATAGAACGATATGGCCGTAGTCATTCTAGTACTATATTGCTGTAGAGGCCGTGGCAGAAGGAACAGAAATAGCAGTGGTTGCACTTGTGCAAAAGTTGGGGTGGGCAAGCTCCCTGCGCTGGTATCGTTCATCCGAATTGTCCTGGATGAATAAAGTTGACGGTCGGTGACGAACCGTCTGCTTGCTGTGTGGCCGGCGGGTTAGAACCAGCTGAGGTAGGGAATAGCTCAACGAGGGCGCAATATAGGAAAAACGTGGTTCAATAATGAACTTATAGATATAATGTGAGGTTCGTCCGGTCACTTCGAATAAGCAGGCTTGTGTCAACAGTTTCGTTTATAGACAGGAGACCTAGTTTACTCATGCAGTTTCGTAACCGCGCTCAACCACGTCGACATACAAGCTGTGCTCGAAATGCAGAAGCAGATCCCTAAAGCATACACCTACCCATATACACAGAAGCTTTCACAGATGGAGGCAGATGTACATAATCGAACTTGAAGATCCCCGTAAGATCCATCCGACCTTCCGGATTGTAGCAGTGGTCTGTCTATATTCTCTCACAAAAGCGGACGTTGCTGTGTAGATTTCTTGTGGCAGTGGTTGTATAAGCGCCGTAAAGAAAATGGAAACAAATTCTGACGATGGTGGGGCTAGTGAATGGAAAGGTCATTGCCGGTTTATAATGTTGCTAGATCAAGTGCGACGAACGGACTAATGGCGCTAGTCTATGATACGTATAGAACAGTGTCTTGCTGTCGGTAGTATAACGGTTTGCACCGCCTACGAAACTGGCGTGGGGATTTCTATTGAAAAGACGTAATTATAGCACGTCGAATATAAATATGGAGCAGATTAATGCGAGCACGAGAATCGGATAAACCAACCATTACCTTGGTAGGAATGTTGAAAGCTATTGATTAATTCGTAAACCTGCTCTTTGATCATTCACTGGTTAAGATTCTATGTCCTATTCGTCGTCTATTTTAAGGTCGTTCGTCCGTGCGGATATGGCTATTTGAGGCATATAATTACATCCAGATACCACGTCTAGTTCAAACTGTCTCAGTGGCTGAAAGAACATGTAAATGCTTTACTTTTGAAGTAAAACTCCATATCCAACCGCAGAATAATAGACTGTCATGACATACGGTCCAATATTTTTTCTTCAGTCTGTGCACATTGGCTGTAGTGTAAGGCTTTACTTAACTTTGAAATACGTACAGTGTCATACGAAAATAGCACTCTTAGTAGTGAGCAAACGTTTGTGTACAAAGTTTCGCCAAGTTACGTATCAGGTCCTACCTCTTAATCTTTTCGGGCAGCCTTTGATGTCTTCGTATGCGATATCAATAAGACGCATGGCGTATCCAAAGTACAGTAACGCATTTTATTTCTGATGGCCTTCACGTTATCGAACTGCATCGCTTCGCAGCGATTTCGTTGAACTTACTATAGCTGCGGACCTGAAAACAGTGGATGACTATCGTAGTTGATCATATGGAAAGTGTTATTTTAAGTCTAAAGAAGAAAAGGCAAAAAGAGCGGTGTATATCTTCAGTTCTGGCGATGTACATATGGAATAGCATGTTGGAGAGTCTTCAACTGGCTGTTTGGAGATGCCCCTTGTCAGCAGAGTAATGCCACCAGTTGAAGCGGTGCGGTTATTCTACATTGGGATCACGTACTACTGCGCATCAACGGCCGCCTCCAAAGTATTTCGGGGGACCCTGTCATGTCTTGTCTCTGTGAGGCTGTTGCTCCTTGAGGAATTTCTACCAGGTTAGTCTTCAACACGTACGACAGTCTGGGCTGCTACGCTAAACAAAGGACCGTATCAAGCGTTTGCCTTCCCCGTGCTGTGATTAGGCCAAGCATACACAAAAAAAAATGTAAATAACGCGACGATATTCTTACGCAGATAGAAATCGGCACGACCGATTTGGGTTTACTGCGGCGTATAAACTGTTTTTCTCACTTATTTACAATTTCAATCACATAAGCCGCTGTAGAAAAAACATTTCGTTGCAATGATTTGAAATATCTATTGCAGTGCCTTTGAGAATACCTTAACAGACCTTTTTCGCAGAAAATTAAGTGGAGGTAATTAGTGGAGCATTTTATGTTAAATGTTCGGTCGGAATAAATTTCCGTCTCTAATTATCCCGAGCTTCCCTAATACATAAGACCCACAGCTGGTTGTGGTGTAACTAGCCGTACAAACTGTAATACAATAATTTGAAAGAACGGCATAATTTCCACTCAAATTGTCTATTTACGTTTATAAATATGAATATTTTTGGTAGATAACTTTTCATATATGCAACGTTAGAATCTTGAGCTAGTAAAACATGTAGCTATTAAGCATACTGTTGTGAACTCATTGTTATTTTTCGAAAAATATTGTAAACATGAGCTTATTTGACCTTTTCAGGTTTTTGTTCAAACGTAGTTAGTAGGAATTATGAAATTGAGGCCATTTCAACTAGCCGGACTTAAGCCCATACATTTTATATTCAATTTGCAAATCGCATCTGCCTCACGTTTTTAGTATGTGTTCCGTGTGTATACACAAATATTCCTGAATTAGTACCACGGTGTTTAAATATGCTCGAGTCAATGTACTTTTCCAGGACTGTGTCCGTCTGGTGTGTCAGGAAGCCAGCATTGCGACTTTTCTCCGGGCGCGTACATATGTACAACAGTGCTTTCTTTTTTTTCATCCGTATATTGTTTCCGCGTGAGTTGTTGTCGTCATCCCCAGACGAGTTACCCGCACCCGTAAGGGATACTCGCTCACCTCCGCACCTATTTGTGCTGTATGTTACCTTCGCTTTTTCTTTTGCCGTTGTAGCGCGCCTTTTCCTCGCTATTTGTCACCTATTTTTCGTTTTTATCGTTCTGCAATGCAGATTTCGAATGGACGAAAGGTGATGAAGCCCGAGCTTGCTGCAGACGTTACTGCTGCTTTCTCTTCCAGGAAGGTTTCTCTGTAGGCTTCTCTGTCCTGTTCTCCTTTTCCTGCCTCGATTCTCTTCACAGTAGTGTCCGCGGACTAGGCCGTTAGTCCTGCATGTCCTGATCGTTTGTATCGGATATCACTTAGCTGACGATCATATTTCGATCACTCGTAGGTCGTTGTTACAGCTGGTTGTAGTGCACAATTGGACGACTAACGTAGCCGATGCAGCATACGACCGAGGAGCATAAGAAACCGAGACCTCCATTTATGACAAAACCGTTCAAGGGCCGGCAACTCTCACCCGCTTTCCTCGTTATTGCTGGTGCTGCTGCTGCTGCTTCTGCGTACAATACAGCCCCGAAAATAGTGGCAGAAATGGAAATAGCAGAAGCAGCTACACACTATGGTCATTGCTATGTGGGGCACTAGTTGGGCAGTGTCGCTGTCACATCAACCATATCACATACATCCACATGCAATCATACATATCGCATTGCAAGTGTCAATGATCTGTTATCGGATTACATGCGGCGTGCAGTGTATCATTGCTCGTATGGTGGACCGTGGACCAGTGCATCCAATACCCAGCTAGCCCCGTCCCCTGTTGCTTACAAACACAAAGAAGCGAAGGTATCCAGAGAGCCATTCGATGATTATTGCTGTTGGTATCGCGGTTGCACTTCTAGCCTCCAGTCATATACCTCGATAGTAAATTTGAAGCAATCGTGTTTGCTCGACTGCGGCGTTGTCCAACTTGCGTATACATACGGGAGCTATTGCGGTCCTCATATCAGCCCGAAAATGCTCGGCCGTCTCAATGAAAAAGATTTTAGGTCAAGGATATATTGTACGATGTGGTAAAAGATGGGTATAACATCGACGACGACAGTCCTGGTGGCTAACGCTTAATGGCGATCATTCTATGTCGATAAACGGTCTGGCTCAGCCTAATGACGAGACGCCTTAAATACGGGCGGCAAAATCGCTCTTTCACCGATAGTTTCTCTTACCACGGACAATCAGCCTGCATCCATTCCAGCTGAGACGATGCATATTTTTTGATAGGCATCGTTCGCAAGTTTTAAACATATAGCTTAGTACTGCTTTTTTGAGATGTACGATTCTTGAAATTAACGAATGCAGTAAATGAAATTATTTTACATTTAATTCCTGTGATTTTCCAGGTGCTTACGATCTATAATAACGGTGATGTCAAAATAATGCTCTCTAATGTGACGCTCTGTTTGGCGCTGACATTTTGGGGAACGCCATCTAAAATCTAGCCTTTAGAGGTACCTGTAACATTGTATCAATGCGATCAGCACAACATTACAGCTAGATAATCTATACGTAATTGTTTTGTGCATTTTACGGGTGCTAAAAATATCATACTCTACTCTAGACATCTAAAATGAAGAAGAATTCAATGAAAATCCAAGATATGTATTTATTTGACTGTATAGCCAAAAAAAAAACAAAATGCAAATACTGATAATTTATATGCTGAGCAAATGAACCTTAAAAGATATAGATATTCTATTTTTTCCGGACTAAATTATGATTTCGTCTTTGCCCTGTGCTAAAAAGAGAAGTTCAGGCCATGCTCGTCTGTCTCCGTTATGTCGTATTGTTACCTCGCAAAAAAAATAAGCAAATTTTTTCTGCCAGCGATCGTCGTACGACCCTTCTAGAAGCGGAAGCGCATCGAGATAATGGAAAGTATTGTAGAAAAGGGCTAGAAGATGGAAATATGTAGTAGCTTGAAGAAAAAACACGCGGACGCCTCGGAGCTACACTTCGAAAAAATACAATATATACACGTATGCAGAAAAACAACGAGCATCGCGCAGCTAAAAAAATGTCGGTCATTTTTAATAAAAAGTCACGTCGTGGCTAAAGTTTGCACTGTACTTCTACTAATGTAACAAAAATGGCTGCTTTTCCTTTCCCGATCGTTTGCGCTTCACAGACAAATTGTCCTTCCGCCATTCCGTCCTCTTAATGAGTGAATGGCACGTCTTAAAGCCTGATAGATCTTACCACCAAAAGAAGGACTTCAGTGAAGAAAAGTTTGCCGTATAACATTATGTAGTCGAGAAACCGCTTCAGCGTGTACAGTTATACCAGTGTAAGACAAAGTGCACGAAAAACATTATACACAAATCTCTATCTGTATGAGGTAGAGATACACAGAAAAAAAGCACTTAACTAAAAGATGTGAGCAGCTCAGTAAAGATAATTTTACTTCAGCCGCAAATTTCATTTTGCAATATTCAAAATGCGGTCAAATCTTTCTAGGCGTGCACAACTAACGAATTTAATTGTCGATTTTAATTCGGTCGTTCGCATCTGTACGTAAAACTTTACGTATAAAAAAATACTTTGCCTGGCATATAGATAGATTAGTAAGTGCAATCCTGGATTTAAAGAACAACTCCGCGGAGGTCCCTAGGCTACGACCATGATTTCAAATAGCTACCAGTTAGCTAGGACTTCTATGGGCAAAAGACATATTGTTAGTTTTTCCAACTAGGTACCTGATTTATCAGTGGAGTATATTCTAATATCTAGCCACTAGCTAAACAGAAGGATAACCACAGAAACACGTTAGGGCACCGCTGCTAGTTAAAAAGGTTTGGAGCATAACTGACGTAGCATCCGTTCTCACTTTGTTAACGCTAACAAATTGTTTACCGATTGCTCATGGAACTAGCGCTGGCAGGGTATATGACGAATGGTTTTTGGTCCCTGTTCGTTCTACGGCAAACCATCAAATAAATACAACAGTATTGCAGAATTGACAAGCAATAACGGAAAATAATTCGTAATTTCACAGATAGTTACATGGAACTACAAACGAGGAAATAGATTTCTTTCAACTTTTGGCGCGTCATCCAACTGCTGCCCGGTTTCAATTCAAAAAATAGTCTGCAGCGCCATTTTGGCTTACTCTAGTAATCTATCGGGCACAGAAACTGTGAGTGTTTTCTATGTTTCTTCACTTTTCCCGAAGTTCGATATGTTTTGCTCTGGATACAAATGAAAATTGTCTTAGACTTGAATGGATTAAAAGCTATTTTTTTATGCGCAATGAACCAATTCGAGATCCGCATTCCTTATACGTTGGGGTGCACAAGCTAACACTTCCTTGAACAACACCTTCCGTAGAACATTATCGCGTTAGTACGAATATATCCGAGTTCGGATAGGATTCAGTGCTTTAATGGAATGCTTAAAAGCGGTACCGGACTGAAAATTCGAAACGTAGAGTGTTCGACGTACGGGCATAACAACGGTGCCGACATTTTAAAAGCATATGCACTGCTGACTGGTAACTTACATGACCTATGATGGAGATTTTATCTTTATTCGGATGAAAAACGTTTTTTCCTTATTTGTTTTTATTCTGACATGATGGAAATTGACTCGTCATGCTTTGGTGATCGTCTCGTCAATGATTAATCCTAACTAAAAAATTACCCTTCGATTCATTGACAGTTCTGAGGCTGTAATAACATCTCGGTAATCAGAGAAGTACGATCTTGTATTGCCTATGTAGCGTGAGGTGTGCTGAAGAACGATTATAACACACGAGCTGGCATTATAGCAGTTATATGAACTTTCTCTTACAATTAGGTTACCTTTTTAGTATAATTTAATAATAAATAGTTAGTATAATGTCGTTACATAATGTTACGTGGTCGTTTTGTTTTACCTTTAAAAAAACAATACAGTTGACATTTTTAAATCAACGTGCCTATTAGGTCATTAGTGAATATAGCACAAGCTGGCTTATTACACTTGTTTATTAGATACCGCGCTTACACTATGCTATCAAATCTTACACCTTTAAGGATTTGCCGTACTCCCAAGACGGCTGTTTGTTTCGTGGCAGTGCTGGCGATCTAGGCCATAGAAGCGCATTATATGGGGCGAGTTAAAGCCCTTTTGGGTATCTTCTTTCGACCCCCACGTACGCGTGGCCCCCTAGCGTGTTCTCAAAAGAAAATAAGGCATGGCAGCAGCAGTAGCAAAAACCTTGCTACAGGACGCAGCCATGAATATCAATCAGGCCCCATTCTTTGTAAACGAGCATCCAAGAGGCTATTGCATTACTATCCTTTGAAGAGCCATTAGGGCAGATAGAGACCCCACCTCGTTTTTACTATCCCGATAAACCTACCGCCGAATGTGCTTCCAACAGAATCAACCTAACCGGTCTGGATGCAAACCTCCCCTAGGTATCGCGCAGATGAAATGCTACACATTGTAATGTCGAGCAGAATGATGTTAACCTGTTGACAAACCTATTTCTAATAAATCTTAGGCGATCACCTTTGTCAGAGATTGCTTAAGAAATACGGCTAGTAAACGCTTGTACATAATGGCTTGCCGATGTTGAACAATATCGCAGATTTTTTTTTCATTCGTGATTTTTATGACACTATGAAGTAAACAACGTCGATTATAGCTGCCGTATTAGATGAGCCTGAGTGCCGAAAATAACAGACAATTTATGTCCCTGTTTCATTTGGGCACGGATGATCTGCTTGGCGAAACTATGAAGTGTTATTTCCAAATTCTTACGGCTAATTAGGCTTTGAGTGCCTATGCGAAACTCTTTGACCCGCTAGTTTCTATTTGAGAGATTTTGCAGCTATGCGGCGTGCGCTGCGTACGGGAAATCACAATAACCATGGTAGGCCCATGAAGGCAAAACTGAAATGACTCATCACGCTGGCATAGCTGGGGATGTTGATCCGTGTGTCGATCACGGTCGCTCTACCTGTAACGCGTCGCTTGCAACATACTTCCTTTCTGGAGAGGTGGGCACCCTACAACGCCCAAGCCAGTCATTTCTCGTATCGTTCAGCTTTGATCCCACTTGGGCCCTTTTTGCCTTATTCGATAGTACATCCTCACTCAGTTGCGCGTTTTTTATTTTTGACTTTTGCCAGATTCTTAGTATTCCTATATCTGTTTAGTGTATGCCTACCCTTATAATAGTACCCATGTTAAAATAACAACTACGACTAATGCTAAACTAAAAAAAAAAATTATATATATAATTCGCTTATATTTAACTGTTAGCGTTTCAAACGTTTTCATGACGAAATTAAAATAGATACCCCAACATTTTGGAAAAATATCGAAGTAGCTAATATAACCAAAATCTGCCTTAAACCTAACTTCTAACCAACATGCGCCCAGCGCCAACCTAAGATTAAGGTTTCAGTTCGCACTATCTAGGCCGCATATATGGATCGGATCTCATGAAGGATAACGGTAAAGACCCGTAGCCCCAATGGCTCGTTTTGCACTTCCGATGGACACCTCGCCGATTGTTGGTCTTCTACAACAACCGATGGGCCCACTGAGTACCCTGACAGTCGACGCCGACGGCAACAGACATCAAGTGCGCATCAATGCTTCAGCTCTTCGTGACTGCGTCTTCGATCTTCTTTTAAGCGACGGCAAACAACGTACGAGTTATGGCACGAAATCCTTCGCGCCTGCGACTCGGATACCTTTTTGCTTTCGGTCGAAGCTAGATTGCTAGCTCTCCACGTCGTAGACGTTCCTTTTTATAGTCTTTTGCCACAGCCGATGAGCTTTACCCATGTGTATCTTATAATGCAATCGGCCCACAATGAGGATACCTTGAGCTGACTAAGCGGAATAATTAGCGCCAGATTCATTTTTTGTAACGTGTTAGTGGAGAGTACGTGTTACTTTGGCCCCCAACGAACCAGATAACGCAGTGGGTTGTTTGCGCCATCTCTCGATGAGGTGAGCTTTCTGTAATATTTGCGCAGATCCTTTGACAGCGCTAGTAACATGTCTTCGGAAATTTTCTCTAATACCGGAACGCACACGACGATCGTTTCGGGCTTTGTCACGCGTGCGACTGACCATAAGCGGTCGTATATCGGGCGAGTTGCCGCTCTCGAAGGTTCAAATGGATGCCTACACTGTAGCTACAAGGCATCACGTAACTGCTCAAAGGTGCTGTAAACCCGTGCCCGTAGAAAATTAGTTACAAATATCTTTACTGCGCGTCACTGTCTCTGTCGACGTGTTTCTTATAATAAAATCTCCTTTCTTTGACGGTCACACTTCTCACAAATATCAGTCTAGCATACGCCTTACTCGCGTAACGATTGTCTAAACATGCACCTAACCATTTTCTTTCAAGCAACCACTGTATCTGAAGAAATACTGCCTACGCATAATATTAGCTAGGTGCTCATAAGGTCTATTTATGCTGATATAGCGTAAATGGCATACACGATCACATGACTGCATGCTTTTGGCGTTCTCTCTAAATTCACTTGTTTGAGTTACATACGTCCATCCACGGATATCTCGACTGTTCACAAGTTCCTTCTAGTTACGTCGTTCTACTTGCACTCATCTGGTGAAAACTGATCAGTCTTCGCAAATGGGTTCATCTCCTGGCGCTCATTGCTGCCGTCGCCATTAATGACGTGAAGTCTGACTTGGCAAAGACGCTTCTAACGAATGACCATTTCGGTCGAGAAGATACGAACAGTATGGACGGCATCGATGCCCTGTTTGAAGTTATGGGGTGAGATGCTAGCTGGCTTGGAGAAACCTGTCGTTAACGTTGAGTGTTGTGCGTGACGTGAGTGTGCTCATAAAAATCTCCGCGATTTTTGCTGGAATCGTGGTTTATTGATACCCCATCATTACTGAAACACTGGCGATGCGCAACTCATGTATGTCCTGATAATTTAGCGACCAGCCGAAATCGGGCTGATATCCTCGGCTTACATGACATATTCGTCGCTGCTGATTGTCCCTCCTTAACACCCCTAAGCGTCTCACCAAACCGTTTGCTGAGCATCCGAACCATCAACTCTAAACAATGCACGAATGTTCTCCAGGCCATCCAATTTGCGTCAACGTTAAGCCTTAGAACTTCTACCTTCAAAAATAGTCACCCTGATTCAGCTAGAGAATGGTGTTCTTCCTTAGCTGCTTTCCTTTGGCGTGGTACAAGGGATTTCACCAGTGACGCAGTTCTAAAGTAACAATATAGTCTGGATGTCGTGTCGCTATGTCAAGTCACCAAATGTCATCATGCGGGTTTTGTGCCTCACGTTCGACTCTAAAATTCACAGATCGCTTAAGGGTTAGAGCGCAAACGTTTACCATGATGGCACAGGAGCTTTCGGCGACAATGCGGATTCCTTACTGGTAAGTTCCATAGAATCAACACTGGTCGATCCTGAGACAGAGGATTTCTAACAACACTTAGAGACATATCGAAAATGTGTGGCCTAATTTCACTTGGGCACGATCAACCCAAATGGCGATACGGCTAAGCACTATTCTCTGGGTCTTACAACGGGGTCAGCTGTTATAACATTACAAAACTTGCCAATCACTACTAGAGAGACCAACATACCGGTCATTCGCGTAACCTGATCACTCAAACGCAGCAGCTCCTATAATCCACTATGCGGGTGATCCGAGATCCCTCATCACGTTGGCGCTGCTACTGCTGATGGTAACCTTTGAATCGATCGTGGATATCATAACGAGAACAGGCGGTTTGTGACGCCTATATGGCTTTAAAACGACGGCGATTTGGAATAATAGAATCTCGTTCATGAAGCTGTCTTTATATCCGTAAGTTTAGTAAATATCGTCTGTCCATACATTGAGTATCCCCGAATGGATTAGCGTGCGTGCCTGCCTTAGTAAGGAACTATTGTACTACGCATACATAGAACACGCTTTCCAACAACGAACATTGTTTTGCCGAAGCGGCGATGAAACCTGAAAACACCTAATATATCAAAGTGCAATGTAATCTATGTGAGTGCGCAGAGCGGTATTTTTCTAAGCCGTATGTATCCACAGGTTCTCGCGCATAACAGAATATAGATAGACTCGCACATAGCAGTCAAGTACGTGTGACTGTGTCGCAATGCGCTTTCTACAACACTAGATATTTATTCATTGGAGCTTATCCAGTTTGGCACATTTCGTATGGATGTCACGCCGCGATGAATGTTAAAAGCCCATTCCGACGGGAGGTATTAAAGAAAGCTTTCTCACAAATTACAGAAGATGGCTCGTTGGGGAAGATGGAACGTTAACAATGAACGTAACTAATCGCCATAAAAACAGTTCAATATTACGAAAAGGTAGCATATAAAAATATAAACTAGGCTAACTAACACTATCATTCTTTCTTGCGTAGGTGTAAAAAGGGCAACTAAAAACAATGGCGAGAAACCTCATCGATTCAATCCATACGAGATAACGGAAATTTCCTGGAAAAAAACATATATGTTTACTTGGGGACTTTAGGTACCTGTTGTGTAATATATACTGTAGTAACAAACTGATTGACTCACTAAGTAATTTCCACTTCTAGATACTTTGGCCGAGACCAAATACATCTACAGCGACCAACGAAAACATCTGGCATTGCTCCATGGGCTGCTTTTGACCGAGACAGCTTGCACAAAGCAGATAAGAGTCTTTGAGCTTTATCAAATATTTAAAAATTTACAATCAACTGTTGCTGATTACGTTAATTTCCGCGACAACAGTACTTAAAATAACAGCTTATGTTTAGCTAATTATCTATGTATAATTTTTTCCTGCTATTCTCTTTGTTCTTGCATTATCCAAAATAACAAAACAGTGCCCCTAGATATACATGTTATTGCAAGTAGTTTTTCGCAATCTAACTGATAAAATCAAGTGCTAAATGAGGTTCAACCGTGACTCATACTTCATCGGCGTAGCTAGTATGCGACTCTATATATAACCCTTCTATATAAGATGCACACAGCAACTACGGTTGACTGGCAGACCTTTGGGCAGACAATACAGATGCGGAAGTGGAACGAATCAGCAAGCAAAGCGTAGATAGGTCATGTATGACGATATGAGCTTGTTTTGTTTAAAAGCCGCTGAAAGACCCGTCCTACCGTTAGGTACTTAGTATTCCCTCACCCTTACTACTTCGTTCCGGCTAAACCAGATCAATTTGGCTTCCAGGTAGGCAAAAGTCGCTTTGTTGCAACTGCCGCTGGTGTTATAGGACCGCTTATGTAGACCCCGGGCTGATGCACCGGTCTGCTGAGCCGGTGCTGCTGGAACGTGCGGGGGAGGGCAGAGGCGTAAAAAGACAAATAGGTTTTCCCGTTAAGCTGAAGCTATTTGTACGCGACGTGTCGTTATGTTGCTTCAGTCACTTCGGCTAGCTGCTCTAAGCTGCGGGTTTCTGCTTGCTGACAGAATCTGACTTGTCTACGTATTTTGAGTCTGCTTATCAGGGAGACATGCACTCTGCAGGCACAGTAACTGAATGGGTGAAGTCGCAGAGGTGGAAGTGAGGCAGCATCAGAACTTGATTTGAAATTCCAGAAAAATTTGATGCCACCAATAAACACACCAACTTAGATCGTCTTTCGCCCCCCTTTAGCGAGATTAAACCCTCTAGGATTCTCCACGACCGAAACAAGTATGCTCATGTTATGCGAGTTGAGTCCTTTACTCGTACCCTCTCAGAGTTGTTTAAATTTCTCGTAAAATCTAAACGTAATAGGTGTACAGAAGCGGCACAAGGTCATCTACGTTCAGAACCAAAAATCAAAGGACAAGCGAATTGTTCCACTAGGCGTAAATTAAATGAGTGCTTTTTTTTTTTTTTTGTTTCGGGTTTTGTGTATTACCTGTTGTCGCGATTGTCGTTGTAATGAACCTTGTTTCTTTTGAAAAATCGGATATATTCTGGGGTTTTGTTTGTGACTAGAAAATGCTACATCTTTTATGGCGACATAGACACATGTGTAGATATATAATATTAAAACCGATTTGCTCGCTTTTACTCTAGTAGCATACCTTTATAGTATCTAAGGTATGGCCAGATGAACATTTTTTTTATTATCTACACAAAAAAAAAATAGTCGTGGTTCACTTGCGCTCGATTTGCGCATTCCAATTGCTTAAGCTATCAGAAAACCATTTTAAAAAATAACATTCTTTTCAGCGATATGTCGATTCGAACTTGTCTATTGGAACACAGACGAGGAACATCGCTTTGAAACCGAAAAATATTTAAATCGATGTATCAAATCAGGCTTTGCATTCATTCGTTACGTAAGAAATAGCAGAACAGAGGAAGCTGATTTCCGTCTTTGCATACTCTAAACAGAACCTATCATTCGTCTGGTGCAATTTCCTAAGCTAACCTGGAATATGTCCACTATTCCAACTAATGGATGATCAACAATTTTTAGATCATACAAGAGAAATTCTATTTCGCTCAGCATCCCTAATACTCCACTTATGGGTGATGAACCTTTGGCGCATTATTCCTCTACGAAGAAGTTTTGATTTAAGAAAGGCCAGATATATTTTACTTGGCTTGCTGGTTCCGAACTAACGGGACTACGGTGATTTGGAGCCAAAAATAAGGCAAACGATACTGTGCCTTTATTCCACGGGACGAGAACGAGTGCTTGGATAGCTTAACGTGCCTGCTATGACAGTCAGGCTACTTGAAAAAGAGCCTCGTAAACGTCCCAATAGTTTAATCTTATTTCACACCATACAACCGCGTCGGGCAGTTTTTCTCTGTGAAATGAGCCAGGCTATCAAGCATTGAATGCACACGTTTGCCTGCTACTATTGCCAATGTCAATCGGGATGCTACCACAGCATGCAACTTAATTTTCCCAGAATCTGTATAGGACTGGTCGCAAACACTAGTGATAAAATGAGCCTGCAACGTTCTCACACTACGACCAAAATTAATGAGATTAAATAATTTAAGATTGCTAAGTGGATCTTAGAGATAAAAAAATACCGATGAACAAAAGCAATAAAATTTTTATCTAAATGTATCTGTAGAAAAAATATGAAAACTTAATTTACATTACTGCGCAATTTGTTTAAAAATGATTTAAATTTAAATACGTTATTTTTAGGATTTAAGTAGCAGGATCGGATATTAAGTGAGAAACCTTACGCTTAGCTAAGCAACTAATGCATTTGACTATTCCTAAGGTCCTCTGAGATTATTGGCGAACTTTGATAGTGTCGGCACAGCATCCTCAACTGAGCTCGAAGTTAATAAATGTAACCTCAAAGCTTTTTTCCAATCTCTGAAATATATTTTTTTATATTATATACGGGTTATTAAACATCCACAGAGTGCTTCCAGCGTGTACTGTGTGCTATGTGTATTCCATGTCGTTGAGCTAATGCAATGCCCAAATTGTACTGGTCGAACAGACTGTTGATTTTCCATCGCTAAGTCACTGAATGCTATGACAATTCAGAGGAAGCTGACGAAAGGCGATGAGCCGTTCAACACGGGTACGCAAAGAGGACTTTGAAAGCGCACAGAATTAACATTAAAGGGATTTATCTGCTCTCAAATGAGTGCAACGCTTGTGGCGTAAGCGTCACTTCTGTTTCAAATGCGTCAAATAGTGAACATCTGTGCCATGGTATTCAACGCTCGTTGATAACCGTCTAGTTTTATCAGCCACGTTGAACACATCGATTTTTTATGCCTATATGCCAATAAATAGCTTACATTTGGATATTAATCATACTTTTTTCACTAATGGAGAGTTGTTATTTGGCCAATATTTGAGATATGTTGGTGATAGTTTGATTAGAGTGGGTCAGAATTAGCTGCGGGTCTATGCTCTACGTTAAGCGATTTATTTGAGATGTCTAAAATTTTTCTAGGAATCGTGAGAAAATGTTTTCCATCATTTCCACACGATTACGTCAAAGAAAATCTGAGATTTTACCTCTGGTAAGACATCTGCATCTTTGAATATAGTCGTAAAACCTACATCGAGGGCGCTAACTATCGGTCACAGATGACATTTTATTATAGTGTATTACAAGCGTGTGCTGTATATATACAGCATTTATGTGAGCTATACAGTAATTTGTTATAAATACGAACGTATCAATCAGCTAAGGTATGTTCGGACTCATGCCATTCAACCTTATTGGTTTCTTCATTATGTCGGACCCACCATATTTATTTTTTGTAGTAGTTAAGGATTCCGTTTATTGATAGGGTAAGCGCTGACAAAGCAGGAAGAATGATAACTAGCTTGAATCGTGTATCAAACGTACAAAATGTAGTTATGAAACTCAAGTAAGTTTCTTTATTCTAGAACTTAATGTAGCAACCTCCTAAATGTTTTTAATCAGTGGTTTGGCCTTCCAAGTTATCCTACATCCGCATCGAATCTTTATATACGTTTATATATAGCCTCTAGATACACGCTTTTTAGAGAGAGAGAGAGAGAGAATGTGTGTGTGTACAATTATGCATAAACTTTACGACTTGCGGTAAAATGATCGGTACCGAATAATTTTACCGAATGTTTTAAGCTTCTTATGAGGCAACCACAACTCTGTGTTGATTGTCTGTACGAATTTTGTTTTTCTCTGTCGTGAACTTGTGGAGCCTCGACAAAGGGTGTTGTTATGTAATAAGTCTACAAAATCTAAAAAACCATTAGGAAAGTTAACATTCAATATTTTTCATATTTATTATAAGACGTTATTGGTTATATCACGTATTAAATACGATGCTTCCCGT